AATATACTCGATTGAATTTCTTTCTAGTGAAATTGATGCCTGTCTAATATCTTTTGTCGTTTGGTTCTAATATATTTTGTAAAATAAATGAAGGGAAGGAAAGAACATTTAAATTAGTTTACGCTGTTGTTTTGTGAAATTCGAAAAATTACGCTATCCCCTCATTTATCCATGTCAAGGTACAGAGACAAAAGGTCAGCAATACTTCGTCCGCCTTATTAGTTGGGTCCTAATTCCCAAGTTATTAGTGTATTTAAATTGTTACTGGACCCGTCTAGAAACAAATGAAATACGAGCGAATATTTAGTTTCGCCCAGGTATCAGGCTGGTATTTATACAAAATTGTTTATCTTATTCTAATATTCGTCTAATAAAAATTTCTTTAAAAATAAAAAAAAAACAGCATTTTCATATTTGCAAGAAGTTTAATAAGAAAGAGGACCATAATAAAATAATATCTTTCTGTTCTTACATGAAGTGTAAGGATTGTTTTTACGGAGACTCATAGGCCTTCAGAACTGTTTTTATTGGTATTATAGCTGCAACTGTTTCACAAAAGCGCCGTTGAATCCTGTTTCTTAAGCTAACTTGACTAAGGTAAGACAGCAACCCCACTTTATAACACACAATCGAATTTTCTTACTTTATAATTATCTCTATTATATAAGCTTCCACACCCTACAATTCACCCCTTAATGTCCTGTTCCGGGACTCAAACTATCTCCATATCCAATTTCATCTCAATTGGTTCGTCGGTTTTAGCGTGAAGATGAACAGAAAGACGCGGCGCCTTCCTTCAACTTTAGTTTTTTGAGGATCCCTAAGGAACTTAACACTTCTCCGGGATAAAGAGTTAACGATTTCTCAATCGAGGAAATCTTTATATATATAATTCTTCTGTGAGTGTGTATGTCACTGAACTGAGAATGGTTTAGATTCACAATTTTGTCCGCTGGACAACCCCTATTTTTTTAGGGCGGTACGAAGTTCGCTGGGTCAGCTAGTAAACTATATAATTACTAGCTGACCCAGCGAACTTCGTACCGCCCTAAAAAATAGGGGTTGTCCAGCGGACAAAATTGTGAATCTAAACCATTCTCAGATCCCCTTGAACACACACAAAAAATTTCATCAAAATCGGTCCAGTCGTTTAAGAGAAGTTCAGTGACATACACACTCACAGAAGAATTATATATATAAAGATGTGCACCCCATTCAGCCGTTTCTGCGTGATTGAGTTACAAACATACAAACTTTCACATTTATAGTATTAATAGTAGGATGAGTATGGATTATTTTGAAATCATACATTGAATAATTGTATTAATTTTAAAACGTGCATAGTATTATCGTTTCGTAAGTATCAATCGCAATTAATCCACGAAGTTTAAACAAACTTATCTCTATGATGATAAATATTTTTAACAGTTCTATTTTAAAATGAGATTGCTTAGCTTCCATACATGTTTGGCCTAAAGACCAATAATCATGAAAAATTGTTTCCTAGATTCGAAATTATATATAAATTACTGTAGAAACGAATATTATTGACGGACACCCCTGAGAACTTCTATAAACCATATACACTGAACATATTAAAACAATAAAAAACAAATAAGTTATATAGTAAACTAGGTAAACCAAGCCAAGTACCGAAATTATGGATTAGATTCAGGTATATAGAGCATGTAGATTAACAGATACTTGCCTGTTTTTAAAGTTAATGCATAAGAGTAATTTGCATTAACCCCCTCCCCCTCCCCCGATGCCAGATTTGGGGAATTACCCCTAAATTTGGGGGGGGGGGAGGTTAAAAGTGATGGGGGATAATTGAGGGGAAAATATTTTTGGGGGGATTAATGGGCAAGACATTTTAGTTTGGGGGAAACGGGGGTTTTTTAATAAGATTTTTTATATAAAAATAAAACCACTTCATAAACTTTTAATGTGAAAAACGTCGCGATCGACAGACAATAACAGTCTCTCTTTCTCATTCTCTATAGAGATTATTCTCTACAAGAACAGACTGTTGTCAAATTTAATTTTATGAGGCTTAGAGAATCATGCCAGATTCTGGCCCACATAACTGTGTTCATTCAGTGAGCCCGATTCGAACCCCTAGGTCCAAAGCCCACTTAAAAAAGTATTCATCGGTCCATTCCGTCTAGCTCAGTCGCTTGGTCAGACAAGTCAAGCAAGTCAGTCAGTCGTTATAGGTATATCATTAGTCGCAATTTGGTAATTTATCCTTTTAATTGTTCGCACCTTAGTAAAATAATGGCATTATTAAAACAAAGTAATGTAAGAAGATTGAGGAAGACGACGCGGACGAAGATGTTGATCCAGTAGTAAATGCTGTTGCAAAAATATATACTTTGTCGTAAATATTGTATTTTTAATAATTATTTTGCATATTGTAGGGTTTTTACTTCAAAAACCTGTATTTTGGGGGGATTTCGGGTAAGTTTTAGGGGGAAGGCGAAATGGCTTTCTGGTAACACTTACCACCCCCCCCCCTCCTCCCCCCTCTAAAAGCTAAACTATTTGCTTGAAAACCTGGAGAGTAATTGTCGTTCAACTTAGGTATTTCTGACCTAATAAAAATTCCTTAGAAGAAAACTTTAAAAGTGACTTAGACGAAGTAATTGGCTAAAATATAGACTCTTTCCAAAATATATTGTGGTGACAACGAGCAACTACGGCACCCTACACTACGCGTGGTCCCTACACACGCACTTGGCCGGTTGTTATTGCTTTGTAAGTTCATGATCAATATACCATTCAATTATGTTCTATTTTTAAAACTCTTTTACACGACTTTCCGTTCGATTCTATTCGACGACTGACAAATTTGCATGAACTGCGTTGCTTATTCCAATTTCAATGGAAATCTAACGCAAATAGTGTTTTATTCATGACTAGCTCTGACAAAATTATAGCCTCAATTTGCACTTCTCGCTTGACTTCACAGTAAACTGGACTATATTAAAGCTTTTTTTTAGTTATGTTATTTTTTTAAGTATTTAACTGCTACGTGTTTAAGTCTAAAGAAAATTTTACTAGAAAAAAATCTACGCGGACCAGGCAGCAGACGGGACTCGAACCCGCACCCTTCGCTATCCGGGCGAATGCACTGACCATAATGCTTTTTTTTTAGAAAATTAGTGCTTTTGTTTTTTTTCCTAGGAAAATTTTCTTTAATTATAAAAAATGCTTTTCTTTGTCTCTGGGCAAAGGGCATCGCCTTCCTCACCAGGGATCGCAACGAGGATAGTGAGGGCTACTCCCCATTCATTGCGCCCAGCTCAGGGCTTGGCTAAATGAGTAGAGCCCTACCCACTAAAACAAAGTAATACTCCTGCACCGAATACCCGTCACGCACCCCGAAGACAGACGTCCTTTGTGTGCGTGCTGAGTTATTTTGTTATTTTTCTTACTGGTAATGAAATTAAATTTTGATGAGTTTCTTGCGCCCATTCTTCTAATCAGCTAAAAATGACCTGATTGGTTGGTAGGAAAAATATTGACCAATTCAAAAGAGCTTTCAATATTAATATAGTTGTTTTGATATAGTATCTAGAATATTAATTAATAATTAATTTCAATCATTCATTTATTTCCTTTAATATAAAAATATTTTTTCACTTTCATAATTAGTTTAGAAAACAAACTAAGAAAATGGAAAATTACGATATTTATAAGTCAGTCAAGAAAACTGGGTTCTCTCTATCTGGCAGAATCTTGTTGCTCCGAAATTCATTTGGGATAACACGCTTGGCATAATGTTTTTAAACGAATATTTGTAAAGCATAAATATGCTTTACATAAATATTGAAGTGAACAAACCAAATTGATCTCCGCAAATGATAAAACGATGATACAAGTTGAAGAATTATATTTTTTTAATAAAAGCAGACACTTAAGCCAACAGAAAGAAATGGGTAAATAGAACAGACAACGTCAAAAGCAACCAACGAGTAAAAAACTACATCAGCTATCAAAATAGCAAAGAGGTCCGCAACAAATATGCTTTACAAATATTCGTTTAATAGACAAATGTCTAAAAACTTAATTGTGGTTGGGCCAATATTTTATATGTCCGAATTCACAATCGCATACTTTTAAGAGGGCCGAATTTTATCAGCCATATATTTCTATGTTTACCATTGGCAACATCTTATCCTGCGTATTTTCGTCAAGCATAAAAATATGTTATTTAACATTGGGCGTGACAGCCAAAACCGCTGGGACAAGAAACATGAAATTTATTTATCAGCTATAAATACTCTGCTATTTTAGTAACTTTCCTTTTGCATATTAATTATTTACTCGACGTGCTCGTAGATATTAGTTAGGTACTATCAGCCAATTTAATTCCTGACCCACCATAAGCTTATCTCCTACAACCATTTCAAAACAATAAGGTAGATTTTTGATTATATGTACGTATCCCTGGAAACAAACTTCTTATATTTAAGAAGCGACAGATTTTGCCGCCTTCCTGTGACATAACTTTGACATTACATTATTTGGAGTTTTGTCTACAGAAGTTGACCAACGTTTTTAATAATGTTCAAGAAATCTAGAGTTTCTGTTACATTAACGATTTTAAAAGCGAATTCGAAATTCAAACTACTATTCCCGTTTCTGCTATAAGATGGTGTATTGCATTAAAAATAAAGGTAAAATTTCAAAGAAAAGATCTTATAAATTTTACCTTTATTTTCAATGCAATCATAAAGATAAACACAGTTTCATTGACATTAGAGAGTTTTAATTGCAATTACGCATTCTCTACAAAGAAGAACTTTTCTATTTTGACATTAAAGCGAATTATCAGGCAAGTGGTGTTTTTCGATAGTAATTTTTCAATTAACATAACGTGTCTATTTTTAAAAGGTGGCTGCTTTAAGTTTGTATTTAAATAATATTCGTCACATGAAGATCGTTTCGTAAACATTCACCTCTCAAATACATTTATTTTTTAATTGTCATCAGCCATGAATAAAACACAACATACTCTGTTTAGGTGAGATTTGCATCTGAATTGAATTCGTCGACGCGTCTCATGCAAATTTACACCTAACCACATCAGAGATTTTAATTTATTTTTAAGTATGTGGCATTATTTTTGTAAGCAAATTAGGTGCTAACTCTGTATGTTAGCATTTCGTATGGCTATTTGTAAACTTGCTGGTATATCCATGAAGTTATATTCTTTATGATCTCTATGAAATGAAAAGGACAGACTACTGTCAAGTTTACAAAAAGCCATGTGCAGTGCTGAAATTATGAACTTTTTTAAAGTGGTCATTTTATGTCATTAAATCGCTACAAATATTTTACAGTTTTGATTGTTATTAAAAATTCAGACTTAAACGGTAGTTCAGTGGTGGAAAACACGCCTGCTACACAGGCGGCTCTTGTTCGAATCCCCGCCGAGGAAAAGCTTTTTTCATTTAAGTTTCACTGGCAACGTGGTTTAATAAAACCACACAATTTCTTTATGACCCAAAGTGTTTTCAATACACATGTCGAGGCCGACCACATGTATATGATCATTCAGGACGTATAATATACTTACATATGCCAAGAATTACAAATGGCATTCTCACAACAAAGCCCATTTCAAAATATGACCGCGATCGTTGGAGCCGACTGGATCACAAAAGATCCCTCAGGATCGATGTTCCTCTGATATAACGAGCGGCCCGGGGGAAGATACCGCAAATGTAAACACAAACCCCGATCGAGCGATTGTACGCTTTATTCACCAAAACACAAACTGATATTCTTATACCAATCTATAAACACCAAATATACGAGATGATTACAGCGCCCGCGCGCTTTAAGCATGTATCTAAATCTATATACCAATAGGTAAAGGTAATTTTGACTGTAAATGTGACACAATTCAATTAAATTATATTATTGTAATTTTGACTGTAAATAGAAGACACCAAGTAGTTTTTAAGCTTTTGTAGTAAATATTTAAATTGTGAGATGATGACTAACTTTTTATTTTTCGTCCATCAGGTAGATTATCGAAATGTTTTGGATACATTTTTTTTTATTTTCACATAATCAAAACATTACATAGATATTGTTGGTGAGCTTTGCTGGTAGTCTAAGGATAGCTTGGAAATAACGAGAAAATATCGGACATAAAAAGACAATGTTTTTATTCAGAACAGAAAACGTAACTAAGGTAACCATCAACAAAAACGTAATATACAAAAAAATCATAGACATCAAAATAGCATAAAAATCTCCTTAACATTCTTCCCCCCTGGGGTTTGAAGGCAGGCACACTAGTCGCTGCACACAACGACGGCGAAGTGTCCCTCGTGAAGTCTTTACATCAACGACTCTCACTCGGTTATCGGCACCAGGATAAACTTTTTCGATTTTCCCCCGCGGCCAATATCCTCGCTCTGTAGCAGCATCAACTACAAGAACATCGTCACCTACTTTGAGTTGGTGACCGTCATTAGTAGAGGTCATGGTTCTCGGTGTCAAGCATGGCAAAACCTCTTTGAGCCATCTTGCCCAAAACATATCAGCTAACCTTTGAGCCACACGCCACTGTTTTCTGGAGCAAAGGTCGAGAGAATGAGATGAAATATTCGGTAAATTTGACGAAGTGCCTAACAAAAAATGAAAAGGTGTTAACGAAACGTTATCAAAAGGACTTACAGAAACATGTGTCAACGGGCGACTGTTGACTATAGCTTCTACTTCACACATTAAAGTCACGAGAGTCTCATCTCGAGGTGCTCTTTCTTTCATGATAACTTTTAATGCTGTCTTAACACTACGAATAAGCCTCTCCCAGGCGCCACCCATGTGAGGGCTTAGAGGTGGATTGAAGTGCCAAATTTGTACAGTTTGCAAAGTTTGAAGCTCAGCATATGCCCCACGTAAGTTTGTACCATTGTCTGAATACAAATCTGTAGGCCAACTTCTCCTAGCAGCCATTCTACGCATAGCCATGATTAGGCTGTCCGTAGATAATGAACAAACAATCTCAAGGTGTATTGCACGCACGGTCATACATGTAAATATAACTCCGTACCTCTTTTCACGCCTTCTTCCAACTGTTACATCGATAGGTCCAAAAAGATCAAGGCCACAATGTGAAAATGGTCGGCGACTGTGTGCAATCCGGCCTGCTGGTAAATCTCCTTGTCTAGGAATCATAGGCGTAATTTTCCTTAGGCGTAGTTTTCATTAGTTTGACAAACTAAAACACTACTATCCCAAGCTCCGCGTACTTTTAAACTTTCAGTGCGGCCCTTGAGTCCAGATTTCTCGGCAACCCTAGCATCAATCATTGTGATGGTGGAACCGTCGTCTAAGAGAGCATCAATTGAAACGACACCATTAGGGCCATGGATCCGGACGCGCACATACTTGAGAAACACTTGTGAGGGTGTAGGTTTAACTGGGTCAGACGTCGCTGAAATTTCAGTAGCTGTTACGTTTGATAAACATACATTAGAAGCAATGTCGTTTGATAAACATACATTAGAAGCAGTGTCGTTTGATAAACATACATTAGTACTCTTCCCCGCGATAGGTTTAGCCTCTGCACGTTCATCGGTGTTTTTTGCCTCAGTAGATTCAACAACAGAAGCATAATTACACCTATCAGTAAACCTATTGGGCCAATGAAGAATCGTGTGGTGTGGTAAACCACAGTTCTCAATATTACAAACTGGAGCCTCGCATGTTTCTTTATTATGGTCACTCACTAAGCATTTAGGGCAAAGTCGATTACTACGCACGAAATTCCATCGTTCTTTACGAAGAGCGCGTTTGAATTTCGGACAATCCGTAATAACGTGATCAGAACGCTTAAAGCAAAAACGACATTTCGCAGTTCCCTGCAGTGTAACTTTCGGCCGTGTCTCACTGGACTGTGCGAACACTAATTGCGGCTTATGAAAATTTGAATAAGTTTGATTTATATCGGGTTTTCTCTGAACAGAAGTAGCATGTAATAAAGAAACACCGATATTTGAAATCTTTTGGGCCTCTTTCTCTAAAAATTCCGATAAAAGCTCTAAGCGTGTCTTATCAAAACTTTTATCATGATAAGTATGAACATAATCTGCCCATCGAGTAATTAAACTACATGGTAACTTAGATAAAATTGCTGTCGTGAGTTCGGGACTCCGTAGGTAGTCGTCCTGCTTTATGGATTTCACAGCAGCGACACAATTTTTTATTTTTATTGAAAATGACACTATGTCTATGTATTATGGTATGACACTGACAGTGATGGAATTTTTCGTATTTGACTAACTATTTTTGTAATTATAATTTCGGGTCGGCCGAAACGTAATTCTAAGGTTTTTATGATACTTTCAGCGGAAACATTACCCATGAGCAATGCTACAACACACTCTCTAGCTTCACCTTGCAAACTTTTACGTAAGCGACAAATATTTTCTGCATTTGAAAATTGGCAAGCCTGGGTAGACTCCTCGTAGAAACATTTAAAATGAACCCATTCTAACGGATCACCTCTAAACATAGGCAGCTCTTTAGGCGTTGCCAAACGACTTAATATTTTATCACTGACAGTCGCCTGTTGACTACTTTGCGCGCAACCTAAAGCTAAATTGTGTACTGCGTCGACTAATTTTAGTAAAGTATGGTTTTCTACATTACCTTGAACAGTGGGGGCATAAAGGGGAACTGATATGTTTGGAGCAGAGATGGCACATTCTCCATCCTTATGAGCAGCAGGGTCCGTCTGACAACCATCATGTTCAGCTGCTGGGGTACTGAAGTCCGAGTGGCGCGCATTTTGTGTCGCAGTCATGCGACTAGTGGGAACATTCTGAAGCGCTACCCATTCCGCAGTCCTGCGTGCCGATGACGTCATACTTGATCCTGCATGAGAACGTTGCTCTTCGATTTCTGCAAGGCTTGCATCTAGCCTCTTCTCTACAACCAATGCCTGCATTCTCGCTGCCTCCACATTCGCTTTCATCCTAGTCTCTTCCATCTTTGTATGCATCCTAAGTTCTTCCATCTTTGTATGCATCCTAAGTTCTTCCAATCTTGCCTCCGCCTCCGCAGCCGCATCTAGTAACCGTGCTTTTTCTTCCGCTGCTTCCAACTTGAGCTGAGTTCTTAATAACTTGCCGGATACAACTGACGTTTTGGAGATGGATTTCGCTGAAGCTCCATCACTTCTAGATGCATTGCAGACACTCTTGGAAGTATCTAGATGTCCATCAAAACTCGCTGATGATGATTGCTGTATTATTTTCGACTTTTGTGCAAGTTCATTCACGCTGCGAGTTTTTGCCCTTGTTAACATTATGTGATATTTTCTTATCCTCAACTTTTACGTAAACTCGAAGGACCACGATGTTGGTGAGCTTTGCTGGTAGTCTAAGGATAGCTTGGAAATAACGAGAAAATATCGGACATAAAAAGACAATGTTTTTATTCAGAACAGAAAACGTAACTAAGGTAACCATCAACAAAAACGTAATATACAAAAAAATCATAGACATCAAAATAGCATAAAAATCTCCTTAACAGATATACTGATTTGAAATGTAGTATGACGTCACGTCTTGGTACAATATTTCTCAGAAGTGGCATCACGAGCCCTCTTTCCCAAAAATAGACGCCCTTTATCTTTGTTATTATATGGTTGTTTGACAGAAGAAAAAATAAGTGTCCATTATTTTTTGATAATCTTACTGACGGACTAAAAAGAATTTCGTTTACTTTTCACCGTCATCATCCATATTTCAGTGACAACAAAGTGAAACAAATCTTTGATGTGGCTTTATAGATTTCTGCAGTGTGAAAGCGAGACTTTTTCATTTATCTATACTGGAGTTAAGGTAACCACCGCGCGAGCAGTATTTCGCGTATAGCGGAAGAGCGTATGTTGCAGTGTCGAGGAACTCGATGGCGCAACTGGCTAGCGGGTTCGGCTGCAATCGTTGAAGTAAATCAAATTTCACAGTGGTCCGGTCGTTGGATAGGTGGTGCTTCGGAAGGCACGTTAATCCGGCAGATACAATCCGCGTGGTAGGTTATAGCACATTCTCCCTATTCCATCGATAGGGAAGGCCTGTGCCCTAGCAGTGGGGACATCAATAGGCTGGTGATTTTATATGCTGCCGTCATTCTGTAAAATAAAAATAAATTTGACGCCACGTATTGTGATTAATTTACTATTAATTTTACAGCTTTACATAGATTTGGCTTTATAAATACCTTGTTAATTTCTGCTTCTACTAATCCTACTAAAATAATAAATACGTAAGTTTGTTCGTTTGTTACTCAATCACACAAAAACGGCTAAACGAATTTGGATGAAATTTGGAACGCATATAGCTTGTGACCTGGATTGAGACACAGGATATGTTATATCCCGATAAAAGTATTAGGTTTCTGTGGGATCCTCATAAAAAGTAAAGTAAACCCAGAGGAAGTCGCAGGTGGCGGCTAGTTATAATATACTTATTTATCACTTATTTAGCTACAAAATAATGATAATATCTCGAATGTACATACACACGCACACATTCGCACCTATATTTACTTTTGTTTACAGTTTTCACTCTTGCCTAAATTGTTTACATAGCCTTTCCACTGTGTCAATATTTTATAGTACATGTCTAGGTTTCCGTGAGGTGAGCCCTATCTGTAATTCCGGCTACGGCCCCTCACAGACACCGATCTTCACAAATTTATAGATAACCAAGAACTTTGTACTACTTGCATTTGTACTTCTATATTTTCTATTTATATATTTGTGATGAAATAAAACAAATATTATTTTTATTATATATTAATAATAATGTTATTCAGGAACTCATAATAAAAATTTTATTAAATAAACAAATGGCAAAAAACTACTCAAAACGCAGCCGCATGACTAAACTACTTCTGGTGAACTACATAATTCTAATTTTGTGTCATCACCACATTATGTACCTTTGTAATATAAAAGTGACATAAATACGTCGCCGAGATAGCTCGACGTGTAATTACGTGATAAACATTCTTTACTATCATAACACTACATCGCTTTAGTATAATATGAGTTGCCACTTATTAATAGCGGGGGAAACTTTGCGCTTAATATTCTCACTCGAGCATTCGAGAACACCAAATACAATTAGCCAGTTACGAACGAACACGGGAATAGGTTAGGAAAATACATTATTTGTGTTCTTCCATTAAATGGAACAGCTGCGGCTGTTGTGCCTCCGTAATCTAATTAGCGATCGAATTATTGGTTAATGACTCATATTGATATGATGTTTTATTATTTTCTTTGAGCATGTCTCTTGGGTTTCTCGTTTGTGTGTGAACAAAAGAAAGCCAAAGCATTATTACTGAAGCTAATGATTTTATATGAGCTTTGTTTTTTAACATATGCGTTAAATGAGTTAAATCTTGACCCCAATCTACTGAGATGACGTTCGATATGTATAGTTAATCTCGAAAATTGAAAGAATAATTTCTTCTCGCCTCTTTGCCAAACCAGATCTTGGGAACTTAACTTTTCCTGCATTTAAGTTTTCTTAATTCGTTATTAAATGGTCGTATTTATGTATGTTATGTCCCAAAGTATTTAAATAACGTAAAATGCTACTTCTATTGAGAATACTCAAAAAATAATCATATTTCATGATCATTATGTTATCAATAAGCTTTATAAAACTAATAAGAAATAATAAGTCTTGCTCATAAAAATACTCTATTCAAATCTTCCTGAACAATCTCGATGCCTCCTTGCCTTTAAACCAATCCCAATACTAAGATTAAACCTGCATACCTGCCGATATTAAAAAGAAACTAAATCAATCCTCCCACTAACAGCTTTACTAACAACTCTTTTCTTTTGTCCACAGATTTCCGACTTCTGCCACTCTAACGCTGAAACTTAACAAGAGCAAAAAGTAACACCTTTTTAAATTGCTTACTGCGGTTTTTCTTATAAAAGTTGTCTGCAGAAAACGATGGAATCCGTGATTATACATAGATATAAAGCAATACCATCGCCAAAAGGAGTGAAGCAAGTGTTTAACGATTAGCTGTTGATTAGTGAAAAATTAAGCCCCTAAATTATTTATAACGTCCGTCGTCACTACAATGACCTTTTTGAAGCATTAGTAATATTCTGATTATTGCAATGGGATTCAATTAATTAACGTCAAAAGTGAACACAGCGGCAGTGTTTTAAAACTGGTGTCGTAAAAGTTACTGTGAGAAAAACTTCAGTGAGATATAAAGTGTAATCGTGGGAAATGCATGTGCGTGTACACGTGTCGTTGTGCGCTGTAAGGCTCGTGTTACATTGACGCAAGCGCAGCGTTTTCGCGTCCGTAAAGCTGGGTGCGCAAAGCCACGGCGTCGCCGGTGGAGGGTCGCGGGGGTGCGGGCGGGGCAGACGAGCCCGCGCCCTCGCCCGTGCCGGACGCGGAGGCACCGCGCCGCCGCCGCCACCGCCCACTCTACCGCCGCCTATTTCACTATGTCCGCACCGCTTGGACGGGCGTCAAGTTTGCTCTAGGTAAATTCTTTCAGTTTTCTTATTGCGCAGCTTTTAGAGTAGAATATTTCATAATATCTTCCATACAATATCATCCACTTTTCGGCCAAATAGATGCTTAACTTTGATTCTCCGGACGCGGAGGCGCCGCACCGCCGCCGCAACGGTCCTATCTACCGCGACCAGTTTGCTCCAGATAAATTCTTTGAGCTTTCTTAAGGCTCAATTACACTTGATCGTTATCCCGTATTCGGGTGCACGAAAAACATTACTCGATTCCGACCATCCAATGCAATAATTACATTGTTTTACTCTCTTTTGGATCCTGGAACATAGGCAAACGACTTTACACCCACGTTCCAGTTGGAATATAGCTCAGTGATCCCAGTTTGGGGGGAACCAAAACAGTACGAGCGTACTCAAATCCTTTAATTTTAACTTACTCGTTTGTCCGAATTCCATAGGCAATCGTATTCGGGATAACGACCAAGTGTAATTGCGCCTTTATTTTGCGTTTGCGTGCCTTTAAGTATAGAATAATTCATGACATCTTACACTCAACATCATCCATTCTTTGGCCAAAAAGAAGCTTCATTTTGGTTATATCTTCGGATACGGAGGCACCACGCCACTGCCTACTTCGCCTACTCTACCGCCGCCTTTTTCAGTATGTCCCCACTGCTTGGAAGGGCGTCGAAGTAGCTCTAGGTAATTTTTTCAGCTTTCTTATTGCGTCTCTGATAGTGTAGAATATTTTATAACATCTTTCTTCACTTTTCGGCCAAAACACTTAAGTTTGATAATATATCCGACCGCGGATGAGCCGGACCGCCGCCACCGCCCACTCTACCGCCACCCCTTTCACTATGTCCGCACAGCTTGGACGGCTGTTGCTCTACAGTTTGCGCTAGTCAAATTCTTTTAGTTTTCTTATTGCGTATCTTTTAGTAAAAGATAATTCATAACATCTTCCATATGCATTCTTCGACCAAATAGAAACTTAAGTTTGATATTATCAAGTTTTTTCTAAGTAAATTCTTTCGCCATTCCATAAAAATCAAAAGAATATTTTAATACATATTATGTTCTAATGTACTATTGCAATCTATATTCTTCTTCATCTTCCATACAATATCATATTCTGTCGAATAGAAACTCAAGTTTGACATAATATTATTTACACGCCTTAAACGAGCGGTAAGGTAAATTCATTCCACAGTAAGTACAAATTCCATATTTTATTATTGCTGCGATTTCAATAGCATTTTGCGAAACTAGAAAATAAATAATGATAATATAATGTGGAAGATAATATGGAAAAACTATTACATCTTTTACAAAACATCATCATTCTTCTGTTAAATTATATTGACTCTTTTACTAAGTTTTTAGACTTAAATATTTGTAATCTTAGGCGTAGAATTGATATATTTACATAATATTTTACTTAAATAAACCATTTTAATACAGAATCACATTATGTTTCTGCACTAAAATGTAGTATCATTATACTATTAACCATATTGGTCTATACTTCCCTAAAGAAAATTAAAGGCATCCCTTAGAAAAGAGTTCTTCGTCCACCATTTCTCCTCTTTTTCCGCGATGCATTGTTTATACTTTTTGCCTGTACAGTCGCCGACTCAAGTGGGCATGTAAGAGCATCGAGTATTTAGCTCGGAATTTGCAAACAAATTCCCGACTTTTCGCCCGGCTGAGCATTCGTTGCCTAGAAAAGGGTTGCCAGACTCTATGATCTTTTTAAGTCGTTGCAGCTTAGTGTTATATTTTTACTTACCTTAACGAGTATTTCCTCTTGGTTTTAATCTTTTTCTAATCTTCCTTTCGCTGAAGATCTATTTATACTTTTCTGCTTGCAGATATAAAAGTGAAAAAAAAATTACTTACTGTGCGATATATTTGTTTTAAACTTTCATGGTCACTAACATTATAGCTATTAAAGGGATTGTTACTATGAACCTTGTTTTTTTCTCTCCGAGTCCAAGTCTCCGATAAAGTTACTCCGTGATCATGGCGCTTGCAACAGTGCCGAAATATCGAAGACTCATAAAAAACAAGGTACACGGTAACAACCCCGTTAATAGCTACAATTCCTATGTGATGTTACTGAAAAATATCGTATTTGCGAATAAATCGCTGACATTAAATAAAATAAAAAACACTTCATAATCGCTGAATATTTTTTAAGCCATATACATAAACGAAGTAGTCCCATCTTTATCACTTGCGGGGTTAGTAGAGCACGAAAGATGGTATAGGCACCAATACATATATTTCTGCCGGACATTTTACAATCAATTCAAAAAGAAGTAGGTATAATGTATTTACTAAATTTCTGTCGGAAACCCTGAACTGTAGCACAATGAAACGAGAAACGCACTTCCCGACCGCAGCCGCTCAAGCGTTCAACCAACCCGAGCAAGCAGTGTTTGCACAGTATAATCATTGTGTTTGCCCGAGCTCCAAGCAGAATATCAAAATATCTAAGACAAACAAGCCAATTCACTAAAATCTAAGAGAAGTCCAATATAACTTTCATAGCACCAGTATGAATAATTCACTTGATTAATCCGCTCTGTTAAAGACTTTAGAAAACTGCTTGCTTAGAAGTTTGTTTAGACGTTAATATTAAAATTGATAAATGTGAAAACAAGTTTATAAAAATTTACGATATTTTCAACTTAGAAGAAGTAGGTATCATCTGATAGAATTAAAGTGGATTTGGATCCAGGCACTTTAATTCTATTTATTTATTCTCCAGAATAACCTTCAATTTTCAGAAAACTGTGTAGTGGCACTGTTAAGTTGCATATATATCACTAGTATAATATTAGTATATTCCTCATGTCATAAGTTATGTAGGTCAATTACTCTCAAGCGGGCTATTTTCCACTCTATGGAAATAATACACTTGTGTTACCGAATTGAGCACCCAGTTCAGGAACTATTATCATTATAAAAGAACACCAATAGACATTAATTTTAATAAAAGGGCACAAGCCCAGCAATTCTGTAAGAACAAGCTCACTTTTAACCGCGGAATCAACGGTGGGGTTTGAAATTTGTATTTCAAATTTTAAATCCTACGCGGATTCCGCTGTGCTAGGTGAATTTGTTTATTACAGAATAGCACGGCAGGCATACCTAGTGGGTTATACCATGCCTGTCAGTGACTACCTTACTGGCTTATTATATTATAGTATTAATAATCAACATATAGTGAAAGGTAACGATAATCTGGTTGCGTATTTTAGCAACCAGTTGTTATTTAGCTTTGTTGCCTAGATGCTTTGAATACTGAGATTATAGTAACAACACTGATGCTAAGAAGAGAAACCAGATTATATTTACCCATTACTAGAGTTTGACTGATTGAAACTGGCCGTTAGGACAACATCGCGGTCCTCCCTTTTACACACAACAACCCAAGAACTACACACATCAAAAGTGTCTAGGGATCAAGCATTTTTATGCGGATTTCTTGAGATTGAGATGTGGCTTTGTAATAAATTTATGATTTTATAAATTTATATGGATCCTTTTTGGTGCATTTCATAATTTGAATCAGGAACTGTGAATCAAATTCGAGTAAAAGATGAAAATCAGCTGTCAATATTTTCCCTATAAAAACATACAACGCATTGAAGACATTATTAGTGCTACTGTTTCCCTACTACTGATTAAAACCAACGTTATTATGGAGCGGCGACGTCATTTAAGCAGGGAAGAAATGCTCAGAGCCGTGGGAATGATAGAAGCTGGTTCCCGGCAACGTACTGTGGCTTTAGCTCTGAATACAAGTCAGAGTGTTATCAGTCGACTTTGGACACGATACCGAAGCACTGGTACCGTGGCTGAGCGCCATGGAGGACGGTATCGCTGCACCACACGGAGACAAGACCGATACATTCAAATCTTAACTCGAAGAGCTCCAACAATAACCGCCATGATGTTAGCCGTGAGGCTTCATCACTCTTCAGGGAACTTAATTAGCGACCAAACAGTCAGAAACCGCTTGCATGAAGTGAACCTTCATTCCCGAAGACCGCTACGGGTACCACCTATAGCAATGCACAATCGTAGGATTCGATATCAATGGGCCCTTGAACACAGAAATTGGGCAGAAGAACAATGGAGTTTCGTGTGCTTTTCTGATGAGTCTCGTTTTGGTATGAGACCGGATACAAGACGTATACGACACTGGAGAACCCCTGGACGCCAACAGCGATTAAAATCCTGCCAGGAAGTCCATCCTTATAGTGGTGGAACCATCATGGTATGGGCGGGTATTTGGATCGGCGGAAGAACTGAGTTGATTTGGATCAGAGGCAACCTCAACGCTCAAATTTATGCTGAGACGATTGTATCAGACGTCATCGTTCCTCTACAAGTGCAAATCGGTCCCTTATTTCAGTTAATGCATGATAATGCACGACCGCACACCGCAAGAGTTGTAAGACAGACTCTCGCCGCAGCTAACATCAATGTCCTGCCCTGGCCTGCTCAGTCGTCAGACTTGAACCCGATTGAGCATGCATGGGATATGCTACAGAGAAGAGCTCTGCCGAATATGAAGACCTTTTTTTGTTGTTGCAACGAACATGGGCGGCCATTCCACAGCGTGATTTGGATGAACTCATTTTGAGTATGCCAAACCGATGTTCTTGTGTTGTTAGTGTTCGCGGTAGAAATACGGATTATTAATTGTTTAAGTTACCCAATAAAATTTTAGAGAAAACTGTTATTTCAGTCTTTTTTTCGAACTTTTGTGTTAGTGGTTCAAATGTCAAAAATCCCTTTATTAGGAAAATGGCAAATTTCTTTATTAATGCAAAGGTGACTTGGTTTATCGTTACTGTGACAAACGAAAACACTTTATTTGATGAATCCTTAAAGAAAATTTTAATTAATATCAATCAGGAGAAAAGTTATTGCAAAAATATATGTTGATCCCTAGACACTTTTGATGTGTGTATTTTATAAGTAGATTTGAAATACAACAAAAAACACCTGTCGCTTTGAGTTTTTAAATTGTTGTAGTTTGTACTGTTCTTCGGAATCTGTTGCTGTCGTTAGCCTGTTACCAACCGACTACACTATTTTTGATTAAGTTTTATTGCTTTGGTGATTATGTTTCCAGGGTTTCACGGGGTAGGGAATTGTGTTAGAGTAAGCAATGCACTGTGTTATAAGTACGTATACAGGCTATGGTAGCCGATTACCCCGTTGTATATAGTACTGTATTATACAGACTGCCGGTGACATATAGACTTCGTCCACGTTTAACTTTAGTTTTTTGAAAATCCCACAGGAACCTTACATTTTTCCGACATAAAAGTATTATATCACTGAATCCTGGTCATAAACTATATGCATAACAAGTTTCATCCAAATCTGTTCAGTAGTTTTTACTTGATTGTGTTACAAACATACAAACTTTCACATTTATAATATTACGAGTAAGTAGGATAGATGCTGATAAAGTTCACGTTTTAACAAACACACCTACATACAAGTAAAATATAGACAGTAGTACATAACTTACTAACAGAAAGCGAATGGAGCGGACACGGCCAAATAGAAACCTCTTTTTGTTTGTTATGGAAATCGAGATATTGGCCTCATGTTACGGGTTCCTTTATCGTGGAATCCACCACAGAGCGCTGGCGGTATTTACATTCGTTTCATGTCTACATTGATGTATGGAAACTGATGGATAACTTTTGTTGACAAACACACACGTAAGAACGATCGTATAGGGGGTGGCTGTTTTTATGAAACCTCATTTCAATACGGTTGTCCATTAAAATGAAAAATGTTCTATGGTGAAACAAATTTCTTTAATCATCAATAAATTAGGTTTGGAGATAAGTAAAAATAAATATATTAAAAAGGATCGAAAAACTCCTGCAAAAACTGCCTAGTTTTGAATTAGTGATATTATATTTTTACTTTCATATAAATACTTAAATACAATCCACTTTAAAATATACCTACAGAGAAGCTTGAGATTTTTAGTCACCAATCCTATAACCACCCGTAAGAAATACCTAATTTTCGCTACCATGTAAAAAAAACGCAGTATATCCGCGATCCTTCAAATTATAAAGTAGAAAATTATTTCACTGAACGTCGTGAAAATTTGTATCCTAATTTTACTAGGTACGAGATAGTCTCGTTGTAGAGCGAAAACTCAAAAATCTAAATTAGTTGATAATACAAAATCAACTCAATTTTTCGTCTCCGAACAGTTGATTTTGTGTTATCAACTAATTTCGATTTCCTAGGTTTTCGCTGTAGAACAATATCGGCATCAACTGCGGTATTAAAATGAGCAAATGCTGAGAGTCAATGCTGAGACGAAATGTTGCATTGTTGCATTAAGCTGAAAAAAAGGTCAGGCTTTATAGCATTGCATTAAGAATATCTACAATACCTTATCATAATTTTATATGACGCTGTAATTCAAAGAATAACTGACCGTTACGTGTACTTCCCGGTTATTATTAACATCGTAAAATTAAGGCATAAATTAATAGTGCTCTGCCCGTAAACTTTTATAATGTTATGACGATAAATTACGTTAAATTAAACGTTAACGACGGTAGAAATGAGAATATAATGGTTTTAATTTAATCAAGATTTTTTTATATGAAAGGGTGGCAAACAACCCCCTTTCTCATGCCTTGCAACGTAAATCACTTAAACGTTATTACATGTAATACTAACACTGTAAGATGGAATTTAAGGGTGTCAAAATCGGCTTTGCCCAATATCTCATAAAAGTTTATAATATACTAAACTTTGTTGTAACTTTTATTTTGACGACCTCCGTGGCCGAGTGGTTTGTACGCCGGGTTTCATGGTGTCGCCGACTCGAGAGGTCCTGGGTTCGGTTCCCGGTGGGGGCAGATGTTTGTGTGATGAATACGAGCATTTGTACTCTAGTCATGGATGTTTAATACGTATTTCTATTTAAATATACTTATATATGTACAGTATATGTATTCTATCCGTTACCCTAGTATCCCATAACACAAGCCTTACAGTGCTTACTTTGGGGCTAGGGTAATTGGTGTGAGTGTTGGAAATATTTATTTATTATTTATGATCTTTTCTGATAGATTTTTATCTCTATAGAGGAATGAATAAAAATAAATGTGTACTTTTTCAGTGATAAATTCTGTTATTAACTTAGAAAATTAGAAACAGCCTATTATTAATTGCACTTTATCTAATGAAACAGATAAACTAATTTAATTGTTCATATTCAAACTGATTTTTTCAATTGGTTAGATTTGGGTGAAACTTGTGGGGTAAATCCCAACATATTTGATTATTGAAGAACAAATATGTACCATTTTCTTAAATTATATTTTGAGACAAGTCCTTTTTACATAAATTAAAAAGTTCGTCCAAAGAAAGTTTCCGGAAAATTCCGTTCGGCACTCCAGGTGAAACTTGACGCTCTTCGCAAGAAACTTACTGTCGTTGAAATTGTTTGCCTTT